AAGTCGGCTAGCGTATTCCTCAGACTTCATCCTTATTGAAAACGTAGAGGTATCGTGGTTCGCGGTCTCTACGTCATTGAACAAAAGAGTAATATCACAAGTGACCTAACACGTCGGTGAAATTTGCTAGTTGGGAACAGATCTGCAAGACATGTATCCAGACCCCATTCATAGCATGCCAAACAGAATGGCTCAACTTACTAGAAACTTTGGTAGGCCTACCGATTTCAGATTCTGAAGATATTGCCGTTTTTCAAAAAGTGTCCACATAATTTTGATACAAAGAAAAAACTTTCCATGAAAAATAGTTCGCTAAGTTAGAACGAAATCTTTTGCCGAAAATATCATTGTAGGTTATCGACCACTAGGAGTTGAATGGTGAAGGTTTCATACATAAAAGCCTTTAGCTGACCCCTGAGAATCGATTCTAGGGTGTCCACATACTTTTGGTACGCACTGTATTGTTAGAATACGAAAAAACTTTGGGCTAGGTGCCATACGGTTGAGTACGCAGCACTTTCTAGAACCTAACTTTATATGTCAGCTTTCACCACACTGCATTTTTTTAGCTGGAGAAAATGTAAGGAAGATCCAAGAATTTGTTGAGGTAAAATCCCCTGAAGAAGTCGAAAATTGGGTGCCGCCGAGCATTTTCCCACTGTTGCGCAGCCCCATCTCGCACTTCCAGCACTGCACAAGTTGAACTAGCTGAGCTACAAAATTGTGCTGCAAATATTTTACACACTAGACCTATTGCTTGCCAACTATCACCTTTCTAACCATCTGGAAGGTCTACTTAGAGAGATTGAGCATTGAAACCCAACATGGTGGTGAAACGACCTTCGCCGAGTTCTTAGCTCACAGAACTCCAGCACTTCCAACATCCGGATCAGTCAAACTCATTTCTTGTAGGCAAAGGTATGGGGATTGTAATAGTTTTTATTTCGAGCAAAGGCGCTTCGTTTGAACCGAGATATGCGCTTTTGAATTCAAGAGTCAAAATCGGCGGAAACTTTCCGGACAACCCAATACTATACTATATAGAATATATACTATACTCATAGAAACCATACAATTGAGTCAGACTCATTCGATTTATCCTTTCTTTTATTCAGGTAATCAAAGTGGTGAATCTTCATTCAATGTTGATGGTGTTCACCGAACCAGAAGATGAAGGGCATGTAAGTACTGTTAAAAGTTTCACTAGTTCACTCCCTTCAAACCTATTTCGCCTTTCCTGCTCTTATCACATTTTTGTCGTTCACTGCTTATTTGTCTTCCTTATTTCCGGCAATGCGTCCCTTTACCCACTTGTTTAACTTTTCTCTTTTTTTCCTACCTTTGCACATTTGCACAAGTTTTTGAATGAATGTGGGTTACTGAGGGCGGAAGTGGTGTAGTGGCAAGTGGCACGCTTACCACGCGAGCGGTCCGGGGATCAAATCCTGGGAACCAAGCCTTCCATCCCTCCGGGGTCGGTTAATTGGTACCAGACTTGTCTGGGAGGATAAAAACACTGACTTGTACATCGGCTGGCCCCCGCAAGTCATTGTATAGGCCACATCGCATTCAAACGCCACTACGAATGTACAAATGGAAGTAGCATCCCAAAAAGGGATTGATCAACGGCAAATGCTTTATCCTTTTATCCTCTTTATGGGTTACTGAATCACTCATCTTTTTAAATAATTCTACAAAATTCGTTGGTGGTATGCATCCCTTTAAAGGCAGTAGGTACCATGGTTGGAAGGCGGTGCAGTTTTGATGACGTTACAGAATGTCATTGGTAGACTAGACCACTGATCAGAGGTAGGAGCAGGGTCAACTCCACGTTGTTATTAGTAACATCGGGGGGGGGGAGGGTCGTATGCGCTTCAGTCCATAGGAGGGGGGAAAGGGTGATGCGCTTCAGTCGCGTGAAATTACATGTGTGTTTTGGTGAAAGTGCAGTTTTCACGAGTAGTGTAGGCTGGGTGGGTTGGGAGCGCATGGGAGAGAAATTCGCCGTTTTAGCGTGCGTTCCCCCAAAATTCTCTTTTTTTCCAATTTTCCCCAAAATTGCCGTCGAGCGGATGGGGGGGGCCCCCGCTCGACGGCATTTTGGAGGAAAAAGTGGGCGGAGTTTGGTGGGTTGAGTGGTACCAGAATTAAATACTATAGAGAGGATGATGGTGGTCGAGGTGTCGAAAAGGGGGTCGTACCAAATCCACCTTGGGGGAGGGGGGTCGTAAAAATTTTTGAAAAAGTAACAACGATAGGACCGACCCTGGTTAGGAGTATGATCAGAGCCGCCGCTTAACAAATGCCCTTCCGCAATTGACGTTTAATGACGTCATCAAAACTGCCGCATTGTACCCATCATTATTATTATCCTTAAGTGTCCTATGAAATAGATTTGAGTCAAGTTCATCAGCGGATGAATACAACTCTTGAGCTTAATCTTCTACTTTTACTGAGTACTGTAGTTTCATAAAAGCTTAAACTTTCGTGTGAGCGGCTTGTTCAATAACAATTAGGTCGTTTCAGGTACACTTCGAATTGCGGGTGTGCGATCAGTGGGCTCCTATGGGCGACTATGAGGATACGGACACATTATTAGTGAAGGCTTACAAGGTAAGGTTAGAAATGATCAAGCTGTTGAGGTACCTGACAGGAGGCCCGTCGCGCGGCAACAAGGCAGAGTCAGCGGACGAGTCGCGCGCGTACTGTAGTGATTTCGCGTCAAGTTAAATAGAATGTCCATTGTACGTCCTACATCGCACATCACGCGCTGCGACTCGTCCGCTGACTCTGCCTTCTTGCCGCGCGACGGGCCTCCTGTCGATTATCCAAGCTTTTGTTGTCTACCATACCATGTGCGTGATCGTGATTCTTTACAACGCGTGTTGCTTTAATCACTCATGTTCAGCTTTCGGAGATTCCCGAACGATTACATTGGGCAAATTCGAGATTCATGAGTGGTGTCGTGTTGCTCACCAAGCCAGGGACCAGCATTATCACGGTATTTTTTTTGCTGAATTTGTTAAGCTTCCAGTTTTGGCACACTTTATACTGAGCGCCTCATGATCAGAGAGGTATGGACTTGCCATAAAGGAATCTGCGCCCATGGGTGCGGTCTACTTGCCGAAGCATTTTTACTTCTGCTCTCGCTCTTGACCCCCCTTCGAGCCTCCCGCGCAAGAACCGATGTTTTCAATTGGTATCGGTCAAATGTTCAAATGGAAGTAGAATGCGTGCCGCATCTCAAAAAGGGATTGATCAACGACAAATGCTTTATTTTGCTTTATCGATCAATGGCCTTTGGCCCCTATACAATTTTAATACGACGCTAGAGGAAATCTCTACTTTTTCCCCTGCTTCAGAGCGCAGATTCTTTTTCAACGCTTCTCTTGACGCACGGGTAATTCTTATGTCATACAACTCAGTCGTGTTTTGCTTTTCAAATTTCTTGAAGCACCTGGCCCAGCAGGATTTCTGCTTTCGATAGTAATGGTGTGGAAAAGATGCGCAAGCTCTAGCCAAGAACGTAAGCAGTGTCGAACGAAAAACAGACATGGGAAAGCCGGGAAGGGAACTGAACATGAGCCGAAGCCTTTTTCCTTTTACTCCTTTCTCCGCCTACTTGTTGGCCGTCGAGTCGCGCGTTCGGCAGTGTGTGCATGTGCAATCGTTTCGGGACCACACGGACTATTCGAACTCGGCCCTTTGAAACCGTTCAATTTGATGCTCAGCCTGCGCTGGAGGCTGAATGCTTCTTGACCGAACGGGTGCCGTTTTTGTTCCAGAAACTGTAGCGTTTGGAAGCTACATATTTCTACGTAATAATGGAAAGCGTTTGCTAGTCTTCAGTAAAAACGGTTCTTGAAAAGCAAGTTGACAGCACAACTCTCACGGGTCCTTTTTTCGAGGGGAAACGGAAACAGTTCTTGTTTGAAGGCTTCATCGGCGGTTTTCCTTGCTTCTTTTTTATCTGCGGAAAACTCGACGTTCACAATTTCTACTGACCGCTTTTACCCCGCGAAACCGACCTGAAATTGTTGCTTTGATTTATGAATTATTGCCTTGATTATTAAACACGGATCTTTATTGTAGAAATTCTTCTACATATGGATGCTATTTGCCCCAAATTTGACAGCTCCTTAGTACACTATGAGAATTATAATGGAATTCTTCAGCGAGAACTTCCATCAGTTCCCTCAGCGAGCGACCAGTCGCGTGAGGCGAAGCAAACGGGTGGATGGGATCCTGACACTACACAAATGAGAGGCATTTTCATGGCCAGAGGTCCAGGTACATAGATGTTTCCGTTGACGTCTAGTAAAGCAACAACCCAGTTAATCTAAATTTTTGTTCAGCTTTCAAAGTCAACGAAAAAGTTGGACCAGTTGAAATTGTCGACATTTATCAGGCAAGTTGAAGAGTTTGAGAGCAGCTTCAAAAGGATATGAGTGAGTATTCATTACAGACCTTGCTGAACATTTTGGCTGTGGAGCCAGCACACTCGCATAACGGCACGTGGTCAAATGTTGAAGGAATGCTGGCAAGCGGTTGGGAAGAACGGCCGAACAGCGACAGATTCAACGATGTTGCACAAATTTTCTGCTCATTCCTGGTGATCATGATAGCTTTCAGGGTTTTGTATTGAAGTGACCTGTGATTTCATTTTCCGATCACGAAGAGCATTCGCACATGAGTCATCGGTTTGCATGGCGTGACGGACGTCTTTACCAGTCCAGTTTCATATTTCTGTGTGTCATAGCTATGACGATGCGCCTAGCGCGATCATATGCCTTACTTTTCGAGCGATTGGTAGAAGGGTTGTCGTCGATTTATACCTCCTCAGGTACATTCGCTCAAATGCGGATACCAGTCCACTTGAAAGTTGTAGAACAGCCTCCCATTAGAGGGTTATGGTAACAGGATGAATGGCCTGTATGAACTAGTTAACATATAAAGCCGTTCAGCGACCTTGCAGTTGTCTGCATACTTCCTTTGTTTAGAGGCGTATTCTGGCCCCTGTGAAGTGATCTACCAGTTACCCTACCAAAAGTGGAACCAGCCGCTACATCCTTAGTATTTTAAATTTTTCGGAGTTTGCGTTAATTGATCATGCCTGTTAATTGAGAACGATATCAAGGTGTTCCAGCATCGTACTTCTTGGAGTTATAATCAACAATTTACTGAAACTTGATTTCAAGCAATTTTTCAAAAGAACTCACTCGAACCCTGTACATACACATGTGTATGTGCCTAATGTTGTACCTAGTAATTATCACCGAATGAAGATCGTTTTTGAAAGTACTTGTTGATCATAGGTGATCTTTTGTTTTCTCTCGACGACATCTTGCCTCATTTTCTTATGTGTAATTTGTATAATGAACATTTGTCTTTCGCCTTGACCAGAATGCCGTTAGTCTACTGACTTCAAGCTTTCCATCATTGTTTCCCGCTGAATGAATAAAATTTATTGCTGAACGGGAACTACATAACTCATATACAAATACCGGAATATTTACGTGAATCTTGCATGCAACTACAGACACCTTACTACTTGAGTGTATGAGAGATGAATCGCTTAAACTTAATCGTAATACAAATGATAGATAACATTCAGAAAATGTGCAGGCCATTATTCGAGCAGTAGATTAGGCTCCATTTGATGCCGTTCAGATTCGTACGCGTATGCAGTCGCATCACTTCTTTTCTTTCCGTAGCGTTCTGTAGAAAACAAATTAAAAGCACGCCTGTGTGTGATGTGCTGAGACTACGTTCATTGTACCATTCAAAGGAGCATTCTACGATATGGTAGGAAGAAAACCTACCTAGTGGAGAAACGACGACCCCCTAAGGGTGTGGGCTGACGCGCAATCCCCATTGAAGAATATGCCCCAAGCGATCTATTATAGAAAACCCCGCCCCGCTTCGCAGCTGCTCGCACACCCCCTATCCGTCTGACTCTAGCCGCCTAGCAAACAGAGCGTTAGCGTTGATGAGGTGAGCATCAACGAGACAAGCTTAACGTGTAAAGCAACGGGTGAGAAGAGGTTCTCATTACTCTGCTTCAAGGTTGTTCTTGGTTTTTCTTCATCACAACATCACTGATCACCTATAGCTTGATTTCTAATGGGCTCCTTTTCATTGTGAACTCCGCCTTCGAGAATGAGTTAAGCTAAAATAGTGCCTCACATTCAGTGAAGTACCAGTAATAGCACAGCTACCCCTTAGGCAAAAGGTGCGGGTTCAATTCTGACAAGGGGTGAAGAGTCAGCCTTTGTCAGATTGGAACCCGCACCTTTCGTCAGAATTGATCCACCATACTCGTTATACCTATTTTCTAAAGCAGAACTGCAATTTCTTATTGGAGTGTATAAAAGGTCTACCGAATGCACAGCGGTGGAATGGATTGGACGGGTTTAGCAACAGTCTAGGCTCATGGTCGGCGCTCAGAGGAATGCTTTGGGATCAAACTGTGTGGTTTTTGCAAACGAACTTGAAAGCATTAATGCGAAATAGGCCGGCAGTTGAGAAAAAGGAGAATATTATCATTTGTAGAAAAATCCTAAGTTAAGTGCTATGCTAAGGTGGTGGGGTCCGCTCCTCCAAGTGGTGCCACTGGGAACTGCTCACTTTTGTGGGCTGAGCTGATCGCGGACATTCGAATGCAGGCGACAGGGCCCCCGTGACAGGCCGGCCTACGAATATCCACGTCACATCTTCATGGTTAATGACGTCATGTGATTTCCGAGATAATGCTACGGCGTCCGCGGGAGCCGACGCGCACTCGCAAAGCCCGGCGAGTGTGAAAAGTATGCGAGGGTCTCCGACGCAAGGACGGCGTCGGGGGGCAACTAAGCTAGTCCACAAGTCCTGCAACGCACGGAAGATTCGCGTTGCGACGTTAAATCTTGGCACGTTGACGGGCCGCTCGTACGAGTTAGCAGAAGCTCTAGAGCGCCGACGGATTGATTTCTGTGCCGTGCAGGAAACGAGGTGGTCCTGCTGCAGATCGAGAGATATTGGACGAGGCTTCAAAGCCGTTCTTGTGGCGGTCCTAGACGACCACCAGGGGTCGGAGTAGTTGTTTCTGACCGCTTCCGTGACTCGATCGTAAGCGTTGATCGTTTTGACGACCGTCTAATGAAGATTGTTGTCGTCATCGAACGTAAGCGATACCACTTCTTTTCTGCATATGCTCCGCAGACTGGCTGCTCTGAGCAGCCAAGGACGAGTTCTGGACCTGCTGGATGAAAAGACCGCTGAGGTACCGTCACAAGAAGCTGTCAATTGTCGCAGGTGACCTTAATGGTCACGTTGGCGCTGCGAAAGACGGTTACAACTGTCATGGTGGATTTGGATATGGGTCACGTAACACCGATGGCGAACGAATTCTTGAGTATGCAAACTCGCACATCTCACCATCGTGAACACGAATTTCCGGAAACGTGACTCCCACCTCATCACCTTCTATAGCGGTACTACCAGAACGCAAATCGACTTTCGTCCTCGTCAGGCAACGCGATCGAGGGCTCGTAACAGACGCAAAGGCGGTGCCGTATGAGACGGTCACCACGCAACATCGACCACTGATTTGCACGCTGAAGATCGCTCCTCCGAAATTGAAACAAATCGAGCGGTGTGGACCAGCGAGAATCAAGTGGTGGCGTTTGAAAGAGAAGGAGGCGGTCGTGATATCCAACATTCAGTTGCCGGCAGTCACTACTGTTGATGAAACTTGGAAAAGTGCTGCCGAGGCGATAATCCGTTCTGCCCGTTCCGAACTCGGCACAACAAAACCTGGGCGACGGAAGATCGACAAGCAAGCGTGGCTATGGACGGACGATGTTAAAGAAAAAGTACGTGAGAAGAAGAGGCTATACCACGTATTTCTTGGCGATAAGACTGTCGACAACTGGCGGAGTTATCAGGCAGCTAAGAATGCGACAAAGAAGGCCGTTGCTGCCGCAAAAGCTGCCCACTTTGCTGATGTTAGCGAGAAGCTCGAGACGCGCGATGGTGAACGCTATGTTTACGACTTGCCAAAGCCCGCCATCGCCAGTCCGAGGATATCGAGAAGTTTTTCGGCATCAACGACGAAAATGGTCACCTCCTGACGGACCGCAAGAAAGCAGTGAAGCGATGGCATGACTACTTCGAGAACATCTCAGCAGTAGAATTTGCTCATCCAGCAGTCCCTTATGCTCCGCCAGTGCAAGGTCCTGTGCAGAGAATAACCGTGGAGGAAACGGAAAGGCTCTGAAGAAGATGAAGTCAGGAAAAGCTACAGGTCCCGATGACTTGGCGGCCGACATATGGAAGTCAAATGCTGGTGTCCTGCTGAATGGTTGACCAAGTTTTTCAACCAGATCGTAGC